CTCTCACATCAAACCTAGCCAGGACCTGGAAAATCACATCTAACACTGTAGTAGCACCAACTACTACAGTGGTTGTCAACTTCCCCAGTGGCCCTTCAGGTATGGGATAAAGCTGAATTCTGGGAATTATTTGTATTGTATACAATACTGTAGACAACCGGGCTATAGCTGAATGACGGCTAAAGCGCGGTTGTCCAGTTCTGGGAGGGCGTCATATGACATCCTGCCAGAACGCGCCCTCCCACGCGCCCCCAACGGCATGCACCCGGCGATCTTCTTGATCGCTGTGTCCTAAGGACGCAGCTGATTACGTGATGTGGTAAAAGGCCAATCACAGCATCCTTTTACCACGTGATAAGCTATGTCCAATGACGCAGTACATCACCTGTAAATGCAGTTGCCGGCTGTTGGCAATTGTTAGAAAACAGATTGGCACTGATCTTCAGGGCACTGATGATCAGTGCCCTGATGATCAGTGCCCAGCAGTGCCACCCACCAGTGCCACCCATCTGTGCCCAACAGTGCCACCCACAAGTGCCAAGCAGTGCCACCTACCTGTGCCGATCAGTGCCCAGCAGTGCCACCCACCTGTGCCCAGAAGTGCAACCCACCAGTGCCCAGCAGTGCCCCCCATCAGTGCTGCCCAGCAGTGCCACCCATCAGTGCCCAGCAGTCCTGTCAGTCAGTGCCCAGCAGTGCCGCCAGTCAGTGCCCATCAGTGCTGCTCATCAGTGCCACCTATCAGTGTCCATATATCACTGCCCATCATTGCTGCGTATCAGTGCAGCATCATCAGTGGCAGCTCATCAGTGCTGCCTATCAGTGCTGCCTATCAGTGCCGCCTATCAGTGCCGCCTATCAGTGCTGCCTAACAGTGCCCATCAGTGCTGCCTATCAGTGCAGCCTCATCAATGCACATCAGTGAAGGAGAAAAAAATACCTGTTTGCAAAATGTTATAAAAGAAACAAAGAAAAACTTTTTTTTAATTTTTTGTTCTTTTTTTGTTTATAGAGCAAAAAATATAACACCCAGCAGTGATTAAATACCACCAAAAGAAAGCTCTATTTGTGTGAAATAAATGATACAAATTTCATATGGGTACAGTGTTACATGACCGCAAAATTGTCATTCAAACTGTGTTAGCACTGAAAGCTAAAAATTGGCCTGGGCAGGAAGGGGCTATAAGTGGCCAGTAGGCAAGTGGTTAAAGTTAGGGTTAGGATTAAGGGCTAGGGTTAAATGGAAGGGTTAGGACTAGAGTTAGGGTTAAATGTTAGGGTTATGGGCTAGGAATAGGGTTAAATATTAAGGTTAAGGGCTAGGGTTAGAGTTAAGGGATAGAGTTTGGGTTAAATATTAGGATTAGGGTTAAATGTTATTGTTAAATGTTAGGGTTAAGGGCTAGGGTTAGGGTTAAATGTTTGGGTTAGGGTTAAATATTAGGGTTAGGGTTAAATGTTAGGGTTTAGGGCTAGAGTTAGGGTTAAATGTTAGGGTTATGGGCTAGGGTTAGAGTTAAGGGATAGAGTTTGGGTTAAATATTAGGGTTAGGGTTAAGGGCTAGGGTTAGGGTTAAATGTTAGGGTTACGGGCTAGGGTTAGGGTTAAATGTTAGGGTTACGGGCTAGGGTTAGGGTTAGGGTTAAATGTTAGGGTTACGGGCTAGGGTTAGGGTTAGGGCTAGGGGCTAAATGTTAGTGTTAAATGTTAGGGTTAGGGCTAGGGCTAAATGTTAGTGTTAAATGTTAGGGTTAAGGGATAGGGTTAAATGTTAAGGTTAGGGATAGAATTAGGATTAATGTTAGGGTTAAGGGCTAGGGATATGGTTAAATTTTAGGGTTAGGGTTAAATGTTAGGGCTAGGGTTAGGGTTAAATGTTAGAGTTAGGGCTAGGGTTAGGGTTAAATGTTAGGGCTAAGGGTTAGGGACATGGTTAAATTTTAGGGTTAGGTCTAGGATTAAATGTTAGGGTTAGGGTTAAATGTTAGAGCTAGGGTTAGGGTTGAATGCTAGGGTTAGGGTTAGGGTTGAATGTTAGGGTAAGGGCTAGGGTTAAATATTAGGGTTAGGGTTAAATGTTACGGTTAGGGTTAAATGTTAGGATTAGGGCTAGGGTTAAATGTTAGAGTTAAGCGCTAGGGTTAGAGTTTAAATGTTAGGGTTAGGGTTAAATGTTAGGGTTAGGGTTAAATGTTAGGGTTAGGGTTAAATGTTAGGGTAAGGGCTAGGTTTAAATATTAGGGTTAGGGTTAAATGTTAGGATTAGGGCTAGGGTTAAATGTTAGGGTTAGGGTTAAATGTTAGGGTTAGAAACAAAGGATAAGAGTTAGGATTAAATGTTAGGGTTAGTGTGCAGGTTTAGGGTTAACACTAACATTTAATCCTAACCCTAGCCCTTAACTCTAACATGCAACTTTGGACACATAAAGGTTCCTGCACTACTTTGATGCAACCTTGATGCTGCTTGAGTTCCAGAGAGTGTAAAGTCGCATCAAAGCTGCACAGAATAGTCATGAACAGGTCAGCACAGTGTCTAAATGGTTAGCACTTCTGCCTGGCAGTACTAGGGTCACTGGTTCGAATCCCAATCACGGCACCACCTGCCTGGAGTTTGCATGTTCTCTCTGTACCTGCGTGGGTTTCCTCCAGTTTCCTCCCACACTCCAGACATGCTGGTAGGTTAATTGGCTCCTGTCTAAATTGTCCCTAGTATGTGTATGTATGAATGTGAGTTAGGGACCTTAGATTGTACACCCCTTGAGGGTTAGGGACTGATGTGAATGTACAATATATATGTAAAGTGCTGTGTAAATTTATGGCGCTATATAAGTACTTGTAATAATTAAGAGAGCTGTCATAGTTTCCAATTATCAAAATAGAAAAAAAAAGCAAAGTACATAAAAAATGCAACACCTACATTTTGGGTTCAGGTCCAGTTAAGCCTATTACATGCAAAACAAAATTTGCGGGAAAAACAAAGTCCCTGACCCTTTTCCTTGCATGTGATTGGGTATCTTTGCAAAGTGAAACTTCACCTCATTTACTAAGCTCTGGAGCAAATGCATCTATAGTAAATCAACCCCAAAATATTCTCCAACTGGACAAGACGGAGACCAAAATACGACTGCCCTCTCCTCATCATCTCTTCCAATCAGAGAATGCCTTGTATTCATTGAAAAAAACACAAGCGCCCCCTTTTGGTTAGTGTGCAGTGGGGCAGCTGCTTACATAGGGGTTCTTTTACTAAAGGTCAATAGACTGTGCACTCTGCAAGAGCTTAGTGAATGAGCAGAAGCTCTGATGACTTCCATCCTCCAATCATGTGCAAGCAAAAGTGCTTTTATATCAATGTTCCTTGTTCCTTGATTGGGTATTCCTTGCAAAGTGAATTTTTATCTCATTTACTAAGCTCTGGAGCAACTGCACTTGCAGAGTGCAACTTCACCTTGCATGATGCACAGTCTATTTCCTTTAGTGAATCAACCCTATAGAACCTTAGCAGGGCTTGGTGTCAGTGGGAGGAATAGTGCCCCATCATTGTTGTCAGTTGGAGGAATAGTACCCCATCATTGGTGTCAGTGGGAGGAATAGTGCCCCATCATTGGTGTCAGTTGGAGGAATAGTATTCCATCATTGGTATCAGTGGGAGGAATAGTGCCCCATCATTGGTATCAGTGGGAGGAATAGTGCCCCATCGATGGTGTCAGTGGGAGGAATAGTGCCCCATCGATGGTGTCAGTGGGAGGAATAGTGCCCCATCTATGGTGTCAGTGGGAGGAATAGTGCCCCATCTATGGTGTCAGTGGGATGAATAGTGTCCTATTGTTGGTATCAATTGAAGGAAAACCTTGATGGTGTCAGTGGGGGGAATAGTGCCCCATCAATGGTGTCAGTGGGAGGAATAGTGCCCCATCATTGGTGTCAGTGGGAGGAATAGTGCCCCATCAATGGTGTTAGTGGGAGGAATAGTGCCCCATCTATGGTGTCAGTGGGGGATGGGGGGAATAGTGCCTATTGCTGGCATCAATTGAAGGAATAGTACCCCATCCATTATGTTAATGGGAGGAATGGTGCCCTCTCATTGGTGTCATTTGAAGAAATAGTGTCCCAAGGGCAGGATAAAGGCAGCACTAGGGTTATTGGTTCAAATCCCAACCATCGCACTACCTGCCTGGAGTTTGCATGTTCTCTTTGTGCCTGTGTGGGTTCCTATATGGAAGAAAAACATATTGTAAAAATATTCTTCAGAATATATTGACATATATTTGAAATACTACAATTTTGGCCATATTCAATATATTTCTCTCTCTCTTTCTCTTTCTCTCTCTCTCTCTCTCTATATATATATATATATATATATACATATATACTGTCAGTTGAAATGTGTTTTTATTACAAATATATGAAAAATATTTTTAAAAATACATTTAAAATATTCTGTATGTCTTTAAAAATACAAATCTGAATGCATTTTTTTAATTATATTATTATTATACAGGATTTATATAGCGCCAACAGTTTGCTCAGCGCTTTACAAAATGAAGGCAGACATTACAGTTACAATACAATTTGGTACAAGAGGAAACAGAGGGCCCAGCTCCTCAGAGCTTACAATCTAGGAGGAGGAGTTGAGTGATACAAAAGGTAATAGCTGTGGGGGATGGGCTGAGGGAGGAAATAAATGTCAGTTTATTAGTTAGAAGCAGGATAGGCTTCTTTAAAGAGAAAGGTTTTCAGGGATCGTCTAAAGGTGGATAGATTAGGAGACAGCCGGACAGATTGGGGGTAGGGAGTTCCATAGGATGGGAGAAGCTCGGAAGAAGTCCTGGAGGCAAGCATGGGAAGAGGTGATACAGGAACTAGAGAGCAGAAGTTCTTGGGAGGATCAAAGAGAGTGGTTTGGTTGATATTTTGAGACCAGGTTGGTGATGTAGCTGGGGGCAGAGTTGTGGATGTCTTTGTAAGTTGTTGTTAGTATTTTGAATTTTATTCGTTGGGCGAGTGGAAGCCAGTGGAGGGATTGGCAGAGAGGGGTGGAGGACACTGAGTGGAGGTCAGTGGAGGGGGGATTGGCAGAGAGGGGTGGAGGACACTGAGTGGAGGTCAGTGGAGGGATTGGCAGAGAGGGGTGGAGGACACTGAGTGGAGGTCAGTGAAGGGATTGGCAGAGAGGGGTGGAGGGCACTGAGTGGAAGCCAGTGGAGGTATTGGCAGAGAGGGGTGGAGGACACTGAGTGGAAGCCAGTGGAGGGATTGGCAGAGAGGGGTAGCAGACACTGAACGGTTGGTAAGGTGAATGAGCCTGGCAGCAGCATTCATGATAGACTGGAAGGGGAATCACCTATGTAAAGGTCATCCAATGAGGAGGAAGTTGCAGTAGTCGAGGCGAGAGATAACCAGGGAGTGAATTAAGAGCTTTGTGGTATCATTGGTTAAAAAGGGGCGTATTCTGGAGATGTTGCGGAGGTTGAGGTGGCATGATTTGAACAGGGATTGGATGTGGGTCTGAAAGGATAGTTCAGAATTCAGGGTTACACCTAGCACCCTGGCATGCAGGGATGAGTTGATAGTGGGGCTATTGATCCTGACTGAGAAATCAGGGGAAGAGGCACGTGGGGGAAGTAATATTAGGAGCTCAGTTTTGGATAGATTGAGTTTTAGGAAGTGGTGTGACATCCAGTCTGATATGTCTGTTAGTAAATTGATGATACGTGAGGAAACTGATGGGGTGAGCTGAGGAGTAGAGAGAGAGATTTATGTGTCATCAGCATAGAAATGGTATTGGAAACCATGGGAAACTATCAGCTGACCCAAGGAAGAAGTGTAGATTGAGAATAGGAGAGGTCCAAGGACAGAACCTTGGGGGACCCCGACGGTAAGAGGAGTAGGAGAGGAGGAAGTAGAGTTGTAAGTGATACTGAAGGTGCGGTGAGATAGGTAAGATTCAAACCAACGGAGGGTACAGTCACGGAAACCAAGTAAATAGAGTTTTTTTAGGAGGAGGGGGGGTGGTCAACTGTGTCAAAGGCGGCGGAGAGGTCCAAGACTAAGAGTACGGAATAGTGATTATTGTTTTTAGTGGTTAGTAAGTTGTTTGTGACTTTTAGGAGAGCAGTTTCTGTGGACTGTTGTGGGCAAAATCCAGAGCGAAGGGGATCGATGTTATTTTCAATAAGGTGTCACCTCAGCCGGTTGAAGACTAGACGTTCAAGGAGTTTGGAGGCAAAAGGGAGTAAGGAGATGGGTCTTAGATTGCTAAGATTGGCGGGGTCCAGTGTGGCTTTTTTAAGTATGGGGGTGACTAGCGCATGTTTTAGAGAGTTGGGGAAGATGCCAGTAGAAAGGGAGAGATTGAAGATATGAATTAAAGAATGAAGGATAGAGCCAGAGGGTGACTGTAGTATTTGCGAGGGAACAAGGTCCAGGGGGCAGGTGGTTAGGTGGGCTTTAGAAAACAGTTTACCAACCTCCTCTATAATAGCTGGGTTAAACAAGGGAAGTATAGATTGTGCAGGTGGACAAGGAGTGTAGGGTGAGGGAGTACAGTGAAGATCTCATCACAAATTGTATCAATTTTATTTTTGAAGTGATGTGCGATCTTCTGGGCAGTGAGTGCGTTAGTGGGTGGAGTTAAAGAAGGACGAGAGTTCAAGGTAGAAAAGAGTTTGATGGGGATTGCGTGTGAGAGGGTGTTAATGAAAGTGATAAAATAGGTCTGTTTGGCAGTGTGGAGACAAGAATTGTATTTTTTAAGGGCATATTTATATTGGTTGAAGTCTTGCTGGGTCTTAGTCTTACCCCATAAATGCTCCAGAGCAGCTATGGTTTTTGAGGCATCTGGTATTGTCTGTTTGCCAGGGCTGTAGCGGTCGGGAGCCTAATTCTGTGTGTAGTGAGGGGGGGCCAATGTGTCAGGAAAGGACTCACCGCTGGTGGTGCTGGGGCTCATCTGCCCGTGTGGGCTGCAGTACCGGTGCTTTCAGCAGCCAGGATCTCACTCTGCAATCAAGCCATCACCTGAGGCTGATTGCAGGAGGTGTATTTAAGCAGTACCAGGCCTGCAATCAGTGCCTTGGTGTTTTCCCATGAGCCCCTGTATCTGCATCCTGTTGTCTACCTGCCTGATTCCACTGCTTGACTCTGACTCTGATAGAATTCCGCCTGCACCGAGCCCGGCTATTCCTGACCATTCTCCTGCCTGCTCCTTTTGTACCTTATCCGCCCAATTGATCCAGACCCGGCCTGCCTGACCATTCTACTTCTCCAGCTCTGTCTACGCCTGTGTTCCTGAGCATCTAGTTATTAGTTTAAGGTTTGGTTTTTTATTGCATGGTGCGTTTCTGTGTATTGGTGTAAGCTCTTAATAAATTATATTATTACATCATTCCTGCAGTCTGCTATTCCCTGTGTCAGTCCACACATCTCTGGTCATATCCGGATCCTTGACACAATGGGGTTTATTTACTAAAGCTGGAGAGTCCAAAATCAGACTCCCTTCTGCATAGAAACCAATCAGCTTCTAACCTCAGCTTGTTCAATGAAGCTTTGGCAATGAAACCTGGAAGCTGATTGGTTTCTATGCAGAAGGGAGTCTGATTTTGGACTCTCCAGCTTTAGTAAATAAACCCCAATATGTCCAGGGTGGATGACAGTGAACTATTGTAGACAGAAGTGGCCAGGTTGGAGCAGAACAGGGCTGAGATTTTGTCATAGAGACAGACAATCTGTTGCTGAAAAAAGAAGAGAAGGGTTAAGATAACAAAGGTTTTTACAGGTAACTGTTTGGTAGTTGGGAAGACAAGGAGGAGGAAGCCAAGGGGAGAGTGAAGCTAATAAGAAAGTGATCAGAGAGAGAAAGAGGAAAGTTGGTGAGGTTGCAAGGAGTGCATAGGTAGGAGGATACAAGGTCGAGGCAGTTACCTTTGGATGTGAGTAGAAGCATGCGTCCATTGTTTTAGGTCAAAAGAAGTGGTTAGGCTCAGAAGTTTAGAGGTAGCAGGAGTGTTAAGATTAACAGGGATGTTGAAGTCACCAAGAATGATAGTGGGAATTTCAGAAGAGAGAAAGTAAGGCAGAAGTCATCAAGGAAGCTTGATACCGGTCCAAGAGGATGACAGATCACAGCAATTCTTAAAGAAACTGGAGAGAACAGACAAAATACAGTGAACTTCAAAAGAGGAGAGGTACAGAGAGAGGGAGGTAAATGGAGGATCTAAAAAGTGCTTTGAGGGGATAGGAGGATTCCTACTCCACCTCCGTTCCGTCCACTAGGCCTGGGAGAGTGAGGGTGTCCAGAGGAGACCACCATGGGAGAGGACAGCAGGAGAGGGAAAGTCAGATTCATAAAGCCAGGGTTTCCGTAATTGTATGCAAGTTAAAGGAGTTTGTGATAAAAAATGTCATGGACAGAGGTGAGTTTGTTAAAGACAGGGCAGGCATTCCAGAGGGCACAGGAAAAGAGGAGGCTGGTGCTAGGAAGAAGAGGAATAGTAACCAGATTGTATAGATTGCAGCTGCTGTTGGAGGATAGGGGGGTGTTGGGTATGTTGATCAAAGGAAAAAGATGGCAGCCCGGGATTTGGGGAAATGTCTCCAGATGTTAGGAGAAGCAGAAGGGTGAGGGAGGTAATATGGGAGTATGACTTATACGGAGGGACAGGTTCCAGTGTGCTGGTGGTTTTATTAGTGTGTGGGTTCAGAATTAGCAGGAGTTGATGAGAGTACAGTAATAAGGTGAAGAAAGGAGTGAGGGTGATATATATACGTTGTGGGGTGGAGAAGAGGGGTGAAGGAGAGAGAGTTTGAAGAGAGAGGATACAACTGTGAGTAGGAGGAGTAGGGAATGCATGTTACAGAGTGGAGATGAAGCAGACTGGATAAGAACTGAATGAACTGGATGGGGAAAAGGTCACCTGCAGTCTGATTAGTATTTTAGTATTGAAGTTGTCTGTTGTGGTGTCTCGCTTTGTGCATTTGCTGAAGTGCAGAGCCGAAGTGTAATACTTAATCCAAGATCAATACTTTATCCATGATGATAGTTGCCAATGCTTCCCCTGGCTGTGCTGCCTTTAAGGAAGGCCTACATTTATACTGAGTTGGGTGGGGGAACTGTCAATTAGTCAATTAGGATTGCTTAGCAGAGACACATGGCTAGCAGGGCAAACTTCTCACACCAAAGAAGGACTACAAAAGACAACAAGCGAGCAAGAGAGCAGGAGGGCAGAGTTGTAAAGATTAAGATCAACTCATAAATTTGAGTTAGACAATAAGAGCAAAATAAACACCACAGTAATATGGACCAGAGCAGGGGCGGACTGACCATTTGGAAACACGACAGGGGGTCAGTAGGGGGCCCCATGAGATGCCCCTGGGTACCTTTTTCATAGGCTTTTTTTGAGTTTGGGGCAAGGACACAGGGGCCCCATGATCCCTGATTGCCGGGGGGGGGGGGGGGGGGGGGGGGGGCATGAGTTGTCAATCCACCCCTGGACCAGAGTTAAAGATATTTGAAGCAGTAAGAATGACCCATAAAAACATTGATAGTTATGAATCAGCTACAGTTAGAGGTGGATTTTTAAAAGCACTATAGTTTACCATATAGCAGTGCAGGGTGAATTAGCATTTATACATGGCAAGGGCGATATTACAGATGGATATTTGCTTGCAGGCATTTATCAATGCTACCCCTGGCTGTGCTGCCCCTGGCTGAGTGCCCCTGGCTGAGTGCCCCTGCACTGCATGTTGAAATTCGTTTTTTATACATTACAAAATACAAAAAAATATTTTTAAAAAATATATTTTTTTAAAATATATTCTTCAGAATTTTTTTAACATGTAAAAAAGTCATGTTAACATATATCTTTTATATATATATTTGTAAATGCATTCCAAAAATGTAATTTGTATTTTTAAAGACATACAGTATATTTGAAATGTATTTTTAAAAAATATATTTAATATATTTTGTAATAAAAAGCACATTTCAACATACAGTATATATATATATATATATATATATATATATATATATATACACATCAGGGCTTAAAATTTCGAGTCTAGACCTACTAGCCAGGCACAAACCTTACTCTCCATCAGTTGCCCCACCCAACCTTGCCCAGGTCTGCCCCCCAACCGCGCCCCCTTATAGCTTAAAAGTAGAAAACATACACGGTGTACATATTCTGGACAGTCTGTAACAGGGGCGGACTAACAACTCATGGGGCCCCGGGCAATAGGGGATTATGGGGCCCCTGTGTCCTTGCCCACACTCAAAGCACACCCAAAAAAGCCTATAAAAGGTACCAGGGGCATTTCATGGGGCCCCCCCTACTCCGGGCCCTTGGGCAGTGCCCGAGTGCTCAAATGGTCAGTCCGCCCCTGGTCTGTAATAATTACAGACTGTCAGGATATGCACACCATGAATGTTTTCTACTTTTAAGTCATGCATTGTTGTACTGCAGCTCAACCTCACTGAGTCTTTCGATTCTTTTTATCGAAAAATAATTTGTTGCAATAAACATTTATTGTTTTATACCTGTGTACACACTTTTTTTGCCTTTCAAAGTCCCAGGGGGATATTTCCATAGTTGTTGTCTGTTTCAATATTTGGAATGTTGGCAAAAAACAGTGTAAATGGTGGAGCATTGTAC